CAGGATAGAGCAGGGTTTAGAGCTGTTGTGCATAGGGTCGCTATGAGTCGGAAACGACTCGATTCCACATAACAACAACAACAACAACAAGAAAAATTTTACAAACTCGCTGCCTACCTAAACTGTCGACCACAGACACAGGTAGAATATTTGAACAGGCTCATGACAAAATAAGAAACTCAACAGGTCATAAAAGCACAAGCAAAAATGGTGCTGGTTCAAAAAGCTTCACTGGTGAATTCTACCAGAGACAAATTGAGACACTATCTATCCTGCTTCCTAGGAGCCCTCTGACTGCCCTTTCAACACCTCTTCTATGTTCTTATCTCCCCACTAAGCGGTCTGCCTCTATGTCTCTCCAAACTCTCACGCTCCCCACCTGGTCTGCGTCCTCACCCTTCCATCATTATCAACCCCTGGCATTTACACACGCGTGCTCACACCACCACTACACATATCAGTCAACGGGTAGGAAAAAACCTCCATGTAAATGCTCAATCAAAAAGCTGGTTGGTGGCCTAGTGGGAAGAAGCTGTGCTGCAATCCTGAAGGCAAACGGTTCGAGTCGCGAGAGAAGGATGGGCAGTCTCCTCCCCTGGAATTAACTGGCTCTGAAAACCCGCCTGAGGGTCGGCTATGGGTTGGTTTCGACTCGATGTTAAACAACAGCAAAAACACATGTCAATCCAGATAATGAGATCATATTCAGCCACATAAAGGAATTAGTTATTGACACATAGGACACCTCAATTGAGCCTCAAACTTTTGAAAACAAAAGCCACATGATTCAAGGGAAATGAGAAATCAGAGTAGGTGACTCCATGGGCACAGAAAGCACACTGAATGCAGGAGCTAAGACTTACTGGTAACAGGGCTTCTGTGGGGGTGAAGAGCAGCCTCCAGGGGTGAACCTTCATGTGGACCTGAGATGTGTTCCAGGGTGGATGTCCCACGTGTACCCGCAGCAAGTTCTGGAGGTGTCCCTGCATTTGGATCTGGTGTGGGTTTGGGAGGGAATGCCCCTGGCGGATGCAGGTGAAGATGCTGAGATGTGGAGGGAGAACACGGCCACCCCAGCTGGCAGGGGCTCTCACTGCCAAAGCGAACCACAGGTCAGGGAGCTGCAAACTCTTCCATCCCCTCTGGAGTCCAGCCACCATGTTTGTTGTGGGTTTGCCCCTGACCCCTCTGCAGGCTTCAGCTTTCCCATTGTGCAGTGGTCACTGGAGCTGTGTAAGAAAATGTTCAGCGGAAAGCAGTGGTTGGGACCACACAGTTCCTTTGTAGGCGGTGCACAGACTAGCAGAGGCCACGGGGTACCGGGTACCGAGAAGACACCCACACCCACCACCAGGCCACATGGGCCCCGCCTTCCTATGCGCATGCGCCAAGGGTAGCCTCGCAGGTCACGTGGCTGACCCCTTGTTTGCAAACCTCAGCTGTGTGTCATCACGAGCTCTAGTAGCTTAAGTGCTAGGGAACTCCGCTGCCAGCGCAAAGGTATACAGTTCAGATCCACCAGCTGCTTTGATGGACACTCTCCTTCCATTGTGATTTACTGCCTCTGAAAACCCACTGGAGGGTCAGTTAACGGAAAGGTTCCAACTCGACCATGCATAACGACAATAAACTGTGTGTTATGTACCCTTCCTCATATTTTACTATTTTAAAGACGGTTCTTTATTTGGGGCACTTTTTATAATTTTGCACACAGTTGTTTTGTTTGGGGATTTTGTTTTATCACATAGCTGTTAAGTTTCTTAATGTTCCCTATAGGGTCTTTATCTGTTGCAGATTTCACCCCCCCTTTTTTTTTACCCCTTTATGACTTTGGTTGTTCAAGTGCCGTCGAGTCGCCTGCAACTCATTGCGACCCTATGTACAGCAGCTCTGACGCCTGCCCTGTCCGAGCCAGTCTCACTGATTCCAACACACCTACCCCCCCATTGCCCTAGTTACTGAGTCAATCAATCTCATCCAGGGTGTTCCTTTCCTGCGCTGTCCCTCCACCTTCCTGAAAATGATGTGCTTCTCCAAGGATTGGTCCTTCCTGGCCACGTGTCCAAAGTATGTGAGGCAGAGCTTCAAAATCCTAGCTTGCAAGGAGAAACTTGGTTTCATCCTTTCCAACACAGACCTATTTGTTTTCTTGATGGGCCATGGTATGTATGTTCAAGACTTCTCCAGCACCACAGCTCAAAGGCCTCAATTCTTCTTCTGTCATCCTTAGTTATTGTCCAGCTTTCTGATGCATAACAAGTAATTGTGAAGACCATGGACTGGATCAGGTGCACCTTAGTCTCTAGCCTGATGTCGTTACTTCTCAGTACTCTGGAAAGATCACTGACCCCCAGCTGTTACTGCTGCAGAACTTATGAAGGGTTCCAATCACCCACCTCACTCTGAGCAGCTGGGCATTAGGGCTCCTTCCTGTGATAAAATGCATGTGTTCTGTGGAAGCTTGAGAGATTTTAAAAGTAGTAGATTGCTTGGATTTGGTAGTCTCAGGATGGTCAAAATTTCATATATGAAGATGTTCACAGAATGATTGGAAGTTGCAGACCACCACCACCACCAGAGATCCCTCAGAAGAAATACTTGGAGTTCCAGTTCCAAAACATCAACCACTAAAAATCCTATGGAGGATAGATCTCCGTTACATGGGGCCTCAACATGAATCGGAGTTCAGGGTTCTATAGCTACTTGATCCCATTCTCCACATGAGAACAACCCAGGCTAGGGTCAAGGATGGAACTTTTATACGGTAACTTCAGGTTGGAAGGATGGAGAAACAGTGAGCATTTTTTATAAGGGCCAAGGCAATTGACTCAGTTAACTTCAAGATCTCTGGTCTAGATAGCGAGCTAGAATGAGACCTTCATCCCTGGAGATATGTAGGCAACTTGAATAAATAAGTAAACCAATTGTGGCCCCTCATGCCCCAGAGAGGATAGGAAGGGACACCTCACTGTGAGTCAAGGTTGACCGTACTTCCTGTGGTCCATTGAGGATCTACATGGTCGGGACTCTGTCCACCACCTGACGAACCTTACAAGTGCCTTCTGTTAATATCCCTAGACCGCACATTCCTGCCACGCCCACAACCAACCAGGTGGCGAACAGCCTGCATGTGTGTCCTCTCTTTAGCAATGTGGGACATCTTGGAGGACATACACGCCACAGGCCCCACTGCAGAGTCAAGAGCCTTCTGGAGGGAAGGCAGGAATGGCCACCTGCACCAGGGACCAGCCAACATTTCCCTAGGGCCAAAGAGTGAATGCTGGAAGGTTCACGAGGCATTAGACCTAATGCCGCCCAGAGAGTGCACAGTTCACAAATTCAGATGATTTTTCCAGGTCAAAGCAAATAATAATTTACTATCTTCATGCACAGAGAATGCACTGCAGAGCTCTATGACTTAAAAAGCACTTTACTTTAATCAATCAATTGGTTGCTATTATCTCAGAACAGACTCGTAACTCTCTGCACTGTTTTTTGCTGAGTTGATTTTTTTTGTTGTTGTTGTGTATCATCAAATCAGATCTGACTGGCACAGGAGGAGATTGCCCATCCTTCTCCAGTGGAGCATTTGGTGGATTCAAACCACGCGCCTTCAGGATTGCATTGCAGCTTCTTGCCACTAGGCCACCAGAGCTCCCTCTCCAGTAGGTTTTCAAAAGCTGGAAACACAAGAGGATATTACCCATCTTGCTCTCAAAGAGCAACCAGGGGATTTGAACCACTTTAATTAGCAGCAACTCCCTAATCACTCGAGTCTGGGATAATAGTAAATGATAGTTATGCACTACAGGATATCTTGGATAATAAGTCATGAGTAAGGTTTAATTTGAGCAAGGGTGTGATTTCAGGGTGATTTATGTGTGATTTGGGAAAAGGACACTGGGATCTGTGATGAGAAGCATCCAACTATCAGAATGATAGTTAGAATTTATTGAGTGTTTCCTGTAAGCTCAGCACTAAGCCAAGTTCTTTACAAGAGCTATCTTACTTAAATTGCCAAACCAAATAAGGTAGGAACAACTTACCCCCATTTTACGTGTGAAGAGACTGAGGCAGCGGGAAGTTAAGAAACCTGCTCAACGTAGCTTTACTAGTGAAAGGAAGGCTGGGGTTTGAAGGTTTGGGCGGCACCATCTTTAGGTTTTAATTCTACATCTCTCAAGGGCAAGAGGAAGGGGATGTTGATGATGCTTCAGTGGTCTGCAAAGACTTCCAACACGAGCAGAAAACTGGAGCAGAAACCACATTAGGCATCTACAAGTGGGGTAACCCACACTCCTCTTGTCCTTTAGAGTACACACCTCCCCAGTCCAACCGTCACTGCTGGGGGGAATGGCAGTCACCTGGCCCCATAGTGGAGCACAGGAGTAAGCATGTGGCTGAAGCAAGGCTAGGCAGAACCTTTCCATGAGCTTTGAGATGAGGCACAGCTCTGTCTCTGAAGTCCTGAGCACTGTGGCAGGTGGGTTGGGGCTGCTGGGAGCCATAGATGGAGAAGGCCAGTGTGTGTCAGAGTCAAACTGCTCCGTAGAAGCAAGGATCTGACTTTTCAGAAACTGATCACCAGGCCCAGTTTACAAGGGCCTCTGGGAAGACTTGCAGCCCCAAGCTTTTAGCTAGTAAACAAGCACTTAATGGTTTGAGTCGCTTAGGAACTCCTAATACTGACGTAGGGGCTGTTATTATCTCCATTTCCATTATGAGGGAACTGACGCTCAGAGATGTTAAGCAACTTTGTCTAACTAGTCTCTGGGGAAACTGGAATTTGAACTTGGGCAGCCTGGGCAGGGAATTTACCTTTTTAACCACTAGACTGAACAGCCACCTGTCAAATTATATGATCGTGATGTGATATGATACAATGATTGTGTAGAGTTCTCTGCATAGGTTCTAGAAATTAGTCTGTGCTGCCTTCTGTAGGAATGTCCACAGAAGCAATTGTTGACATCTAAACAAACAACATTTAAGATTTCAGTTTATGGATTTCCTTTAGAACTACAGGGTGCAAAAGCTGGTCACGCCGCTCAGCTATAAAGCCAAAGAATGGAGAGCTATGACCATATAGAGGGTCCTCAGAAGAAAGGCCTAGTGATCTGTAAAAAGCCATTGGCTGGAGAGCACAATTGCACTCAGAGGCACTCCAGGTGGTCACGAGTCAGAAACAACTAGATAGAAAGTGGTTACCTGGTTGTGTTCAAAGACATTGAAGATGCAAAACAGAGACCTAGGGATGGTTCAAGGTCATCCTCTTAAAGAACAAGACATACAACTCAACTTGCAATTTAACCCCACTTCAAGTTTATTCATCTAGACAAGAGCTTCTCCAATACTGAAGTTTCCTTGGACATGGACAAAAGTTGGTAACTGGCCTTTTGCAAAGGACGTAAGCTGAGCATGGCAAGAACGCCTGGAATCATTTCAGGTTGACATGACAGATTAAACACCACAGACCCACTGATGAGCAATGGAAATGATTATTCATTATAATGATAATCAAAAATAGTTCTTTTTCATTACAAAAGCTATTGGCTGAAGGGAACAGGGGAAGGATGATTTGAAGGGCGATCCTGGTCTCCATGAATGTAGGTAATTCAAGAACAGATACTAAGGCTAGCTCAGGCTCAGTTTAGATCCAGGTGGAGTAGCAGTCCCAGTATCCCCAACTACAATATAAGTAGCAAGCCACCTCGGAGGAGATACTGCAGCAGGGAACAGAAGGGGCAGCAGATGCCTGGAATGGCCTGCCTCTGACCCTCCCTGCTCACTTACCCCCCCCCCAAACCTGAAGTCACATCTCTGCAGTGCTTCTTTTCCTGTACAGATCCTTCAGACTCCAATGATCCAAATAAGCAAACAGAGAAGAAGTCTGTCCCATCTTCAGGTAGCAAGCGTGGACTCATCCAGCTCAGTATCCATCTGGCTTTGGAGATGCTGAGGCAAACTGGAACTGCCTTCCATATGCTTGAGGGAACTTTACCAGGACATAGAGGAAGCCACCCAAGGCTCCCATTGCCATGGCGGTGTCATGAACAGAGTAGCCATCTGTGGAGAAAAAGATACTGCATGTGGTGAGTGCTGCGGGCTCCAATCTTGGCCTTTTATTGAATACTGTTCCTGTTTTTAATTTTTTTGTTATTATTTTATAAGTGTGTGTGTGTGTGTGTGTGTGTACCGTCAAATCGGATCTGACTGGTACAGGAGGAGAGTGTCCCTCCTTTCCCAGCAGAGCATCTGGTGGATTTGAACCGTGCGCCTCTGGGATTGCAGTGCAGCTTCTTGCCACTAGGCCACCAGAGCTCCCTTTGAATACTGTTCCTTTTTAAGTGTATCTCAGTGATTAAAGTGGGGAGCTTGCTGTGAATGTATGAGTATAAAT